ATGTAGTTCATTAAATCCAATACATTATGTACATGTAGTTCATTAAACCCAATACATTATGTACATGTAGTTCATTAAATCCAATACATTATGTACATGTAGTTCATTAAATCCAATACATTATGTACATGTAGTTCATTAAACCCAATACATTATGTACATGTAGTTCATTAAACCCAATACATTATGTACATGTAGTTCATTAAATCCAATACATTATGTACATGTAGTTCATTAAACCCAATACATTATGTACATGTAGTTCATTAAACCCAATACATTATGTACATGTAGTTCATTAAACCCAATACATTATGTACATGTAGTTCATTAAACCCAATACATTATGTCCATGTAGTTCATTAAACCCAATACATTATGTACATGTAGTTCATTAAACCCAATACATTATGTACATGTAGTTCATTAAACCCAATACATTATGTCAAGAGTGGATTATGTACATGTATCCATACCTGGTTGTTGGTGTTTTTATTAATGGTTGAATATAGTCCAGTAGCACCAGTAGACAGACCCTGTTGACCCTTATTCTATTAATAATACATTATATGATCCATTTCTAAAAGACTCTCTCATTAATCACTGACCTCTCCCTCTCTCCTCAATACAGAGTATTCCTGTACTCCCTCAGGATTATAGGCAGGAGGGACAGGAGGAGGAGTATCATCGTCTTGATTGAGTGTTGAATAAAGTGGACCACCTCCTTGTTGTTGTTGTTGTTGTTGTTTATTCTTTTTCTATTATACATTATTGTTATTGTATGTCTGGTATTTAGTTTATTATACCTCTCCCTCTCTCTTCAGTTCAGAGTATTCTTGTACTCCATTAGGATTATAGGCTGGTACTGGTGGGGGAGTATCATCATCATCACTAGCTCTAAGAACACTGTACTGACCTAGTGAATATTGTATATCAAATAGTAATATATATATGCAATTACTCAGTCTATACTTAATACTGATCACTATAAAGCATGTACTTAAGCACATTGCCTATCATGTCCTCTTGTCTATCATGTGCTAGTTCATTGTATCTTACAGTCAAACATATGATTCCCTGTGTAGGCTGTTGTCAGCTTATTGTGTGGTACATGTATACACATATGGTTCATGTCATGACAGGTAGAGGAAGGTTAATGTTATTCTTGCTAATGTACACTAAATGATGACTGGATGTAAGTATGTGCTGGTATATATGGATTGATTTATTTATTGCATTGAAGTGATGTCATTGTATAGTTTATGTACATTATGTTTATGTTTATGTCATTGTACATACACTGAGCTGCTATTTAACATGTACTTGAAAATTTGTGTGTAGCATTAGCACACCACAGCCATTTTTTTGTTTATAAACTTTCCATGTACTAGCTCTTCCGTAAACTGTGCCAGTGTCACTTTAATCAAGCAAATACGGTATATATATAAATAGAGAGTAATCTATACAATTTTTGAATAGTTAACTTATAAACTTAACCCTGTCTTAAACAATCAATACCGTATAGCGGGAAATTTTGGAGGGAATTAAATTTGGTGAATTTGGCGTATTGATAGCCATTCGCCAAAATAAAATCCACCATTTTGAGCCATTATACGCATGCTCAATGGCATGTGGCCACTAATTCGCCAAAATAATATCTGCCATCACCAAAA